GTCGCGCTCCTCGTCGCCGCCCGCCGGGACGACGTCTCACCGGATGTCCTAGCTGACGTCGTGGTGTCGCTCATGGCTGATGACGTATTCCGCAGCAGTGCCCTTGACGTGCTCGCCGACGCCGGTCCATCTGTTGTTTCTGAGCTGTTGGGACGTGTGCGTTCGTTCCTTACAACCGCAACGACAGCGATAGAGACAGCAGCCGCAGATGATGTGGAGACTATCACACCGTATCCAGGCGCCGAAGACAGAAGTACGCCAGAAGCCTTTGATGCCACACTCACCGCGCTCTGTGGTGTTCTGCAGCGCAGCGATGTGAGCCACAACCACACCACCCTTGAGGCGGTGGCGGACTTAGCAGTAGCGGCGTTTAAAGCACTTAATGAACCCCCCGTAATTGCGCCATCATCGTACACGTGCATTTTGCGGTCGCTGTGGGAGTTGATGCGCGTCGAACGTGAGCATGTGAAAGAGGTGGCCCGTCACTTGTGGTATGATGACAACGTCGTGGAGCTGCTGTCTCGGCTTTTGCAGTCGCTGCGGGACCGCAACGACGCGGCAGAGACTCGCGGCGCCGTGTACGATGTAGTGTGGTTACTGTGTGATTTACAAAACACACCATCTTCGCCTTCGCCTACTTTCCCGCACGATGATAACGCGTTTCTTGCGTTTGCGGCCGAGCACATCCTTCACGACTGTCATGAACCGGCGTGCCGCTCGCTCCTCATGGAACTTTGTGCGCATCCGTCTTTCAGGAGTTACATGCTCGAGTTCCACGAGGCGGCGTACCGCGCAGCTGTACATCTTGCTGTGGCGGAGAAGGAGGAGTATTCGGCGGCTGCGGTGGCGGCGCTCCTTTCTCAGTGCGACGCCAGCAAAAAGTAGGAGAAAAAGAAGCAAGAAGGAGGGCTCTGGTGCGGTGCCTACCTGCCTGCTTCTGCATCTGCATCTGCATCTGCATAGGTGTACATGAACGTGAGATCTAAATTCAGTAAATGAGATGGACGGTGGGGATGTGGAGGTTTGAATGAGGGCAATCCCAACGGACTATATTTCAATCTTATGCTGGTGCTGCGAGTTATTTTACAGTTGCTGTTTCTTCTTATTCTTATTCTGTTTGGACTTGACGCCAGGTGAAGGTGGCGTGAATTCCTCACGGATGTTGGCAACATCCACTGGGCACCGGTGCTGTTTTCCCGTCATGAGCTTTTTGCATGTACCTGGGAAAATGTCGCAGCCGTTGTGGCTGATGATGGGGACTGCCTTTCTTCTGCGGACGACCCACACCACCGCTAGTGGGCGAAGATATCTCCTTTCCGCGAAGCACACCTTCGCACCGTGGCAGTATGTGAAGGACCCCGAGCGGCTAAAGATACCGGAGGATTGCCGCAAGACAAGATTCATCATCGGCCGTCTGTACCTCCCTGATAAAGAGGGGCACGCGCTCGCCTCCAGTTCCATGGAGTTGCAGCTTGTGGCGCTTCACCCGACGCTTGACGTTGCGTTGTTGGCACTGAAGGCGCCGTCTCCTGCTTCTGCTGGTGCGAGTGTGCATGCAGTGCTCGGAGAGGTGGAGCGACGGGCAGATGCGGCGGGCAGTGGCCTAGCGTTGTCTCCCATCGACCCGGCGACGAGCACCACTTGTGTTGTCGCCGGTTATCGTGGCGCGGGGTCGCTGGGGCTGCTTGATACCTTCGACCCAGACTTGTTGCAAAAGCTACCGGCGGCGCAACGGGACGAGCTTTTGTCCAAGCTCCGGTGTGTGGAGGGCGAACAGGTGGCGGCCGTCGCGCAGGTGGAGGTGCTGCACGCTAGTGGGATGTGCCGGGCTGTGCAGGGCCGCTGCTACCACGGCATGTCGGGGGCGCCGGTGCTCGTGGACGAAGGGACGTGCGGCGGCGTGCTGTACGGGAAGCACGCGGAGTGCGCTGAGCATTTGGGCTACACACCGGCGAGTTGCTTCGAGGAGTGGGTGCGGAGTGCCGTTGGGGCGGGGTAGCGTGGTGCTGGGGAAGCGTTGGGTGTGCCACCAGAATGGCCGCGCCAGGTCTGCATCCATACTGCCTCACACACACACACACACACACACACACACAGACAGACAGACATGTCTTTCCTCTTCCTCTCTTTCCATCTTCAACCCTCTTATAAGTTCTGTAGGAAGTCGTAGTGTCACGAGCAGAAGATGTCAGACGAGCGACCCGCCAAGACGCAGCGGACAGAGTCTGGTGCAAAGACAATCAGCACGAAGGAGTTTCTGCAGACGAGCGTGGCGGAGGGGCCCTTCAGCGTCCTCGACAGCGCGATGCGCAACGGCACACGCGTGTTCATACAGTCACGATTCAACAAATCCCTCGTCGCCACAGTGGTCGCGTTTGATAAGCACTTCAACCTCGTCCTCCGTGACGTAGTGGAGCTGACGATGGTCAACAATGAGCAAAAGGAGCGGTCAATACGCAACATGTTCCTGCGTGGTGGGTCGGTTGTCTTCATCGTCAAACTGCCGCAAAGTGCGGCGTAGTGGCGACACGTAGAATATGGCGGTCTGCGTGACGCTGACGCAGGTGGAAGTGTCTCCTCTAACTGTAACAAGAGACCGGAGAAGCGGAATGAATAGGACCTAGCACGCTTGCGTTGGCCTTGCGGGTGTCATTGGACTGTTGATGAACTCAGTTCTTCTCATTTTCCTTCTCTCTCTCTCTCTCTCCTTCTTCTTCTTCTTATACGCGTATGCAAGATTGAGACCTCAGTTCCCACAGCTCAATGAAAAGCCTTTTGCAGGTTGTTCTGCTGGCGCTCCTCCTCTTCCTCCTCTGCTGCTGCGGCAGCTGCTTTGCCTGTGAGGAGCACAGATGCGCGCACGGCCTTCTCAAGAGAAAGCGCGGCCCGGTCACCGTTATTGATGTCGAAGATAAGCCGGAGTCCGATTAAAGGCCGTTGCCAAATGTTCCATGGACAACCGTGACTTCAACCGGAGTGTATGCTACTCAATGAAGCCACATATTTTTATATGATATTGTGACAAACCAAACAACAAAAGAACAAAAAACCGAAAGGGCCGTTACTCCGACTTCCTTTCATTTTCATTTTCTTCTCCTTTTTTTCCGTAGTACGCCCGTCGATAGTGTGCACGGGATATGAATAGTGAACCGCAGAAGAACGTAGTGCTCCTGCGATGTGGACCTCTGTCAATCCCTCTCTCAAGAAGGGAAGGTGAGGCCCTTGTTTGCATTGTCACCGTCGTGTTGTTGCCACATTCTCTCGGCACACTGACTCTGCCTATTCGTATTTGTTTGTTTTTCCCTTCTTTTCTCCACGCGAAGAGGAACTAAACCCGCACTCTGCAGACTCATTTATGCTGAGCACAACACCTACCACGCTGCTCGATGGTGGGCAGGTGGGGGTTTGGAAGCGGAATCCCCGCATCCCCTTGCAGCCGCCGTCGCCGCCGCCGTCGCCGCACCAAAAGCCGCAAGAAACAAAACAGCAGCGACGGGAGGTGCACAGCGCCAATTTCTCACGACGATCGATGCGTCATGCCCGCCCCACATTACGATACACCGTATCAGAAAGCGCCGCGACGCTGACGAAAAACGTGAATGCCTACAAACACTTCTCCTCGCCGCACCCCACACCTCAAAAGTTACCATCGTTACAAGTCAACGGATATAAACAAACCTTCGCAAACAGAGGTGAGGTTGCAGGCGTGCGCGCCATCACACGCAAGCGCCTGCCTACGATGACTAGAATGCCCCCAGGTGGAGATGAGATTGCTAGTGTGCGCGCAATCAAACGCAAGCGCCTGCCTACAATAGCGAGAATGTCCGAAAGTGGAGATCAGATTGCCGGTGCGCGTCCAAGCACGCGCAAGCGCTTGCCTACAACAGCGAGAACACTGAGTGGCAAAAACCTCCCGCCCCTCAAAACGATGCGCACTGGGGACCAACAGAACGTTTATGATAAGGAATCTACACACACCTTACGGTTTGACGGTGAGGCATGGGAAATCGTCTTCCAGTATGGGGAGGACGAGCTTAATCAGGCAGTAGCGTTAGATGTATCTAACGCGCTCCACGATGCGTCGTCCGCATCCGTCAGTATCCATAGAACCTACGAAGGATTCTATGTCTGCAGCGTTGTGGCACACCCAGCACAGATTAGCGAATCATATATAAACCACTGCCTCATGAACTACCACTATCCGGCTACCCGAAGGCTGTACCAGGCTGCACTCCTGCAACTTACATCATCCAACCCATTACTGTCACCTGACCACAGCGAAGAGGATGAAGCCGATTCAATATACAAACCTCAGATACACGACGCGGGTGCATCCAGAAAACCCATTGACAATACCACAGATAATTTACCGGACGACATCGATAGGAAAGAAAACGTCCGAAAAAACCGCCCTCACACCAAGGCATATACTCCATCGGGTGAAATCTCTCACATTGTTCAATCACCACGCTGCCGACGAGAAGAATTTGAAGAAGAATCCCTTCTTTCTTCATCCCAATCAGACATACACGTAGAGGGTGGCCGTAGTGCTGCATCCCGTGCCGCCAGCGTTCTCGCTCTGCCGGGTGACGAGCGTCCGATGACCAGCAGGCCACTCCGCGCACCACCTCTCCAGGAGGCTGAGATGGACGGTGGCCGCAGTGTTGCATCCCGTGCCGCCAGCGTTTTCGCCACGCAGGGTGACGAACGTCCGATGACCAGCGGGTCACTGGGTGCACCACCTCTCCAGGAGGCTGAGATGGACGGTGGCCGCAGTG